CACACGTCTAGAAGATTACATCACAACAACATAGTATACATAAGGATACATAGCCACAATCCAAGGAACGCATAACTGTATGTACTCAGAGGTGAGATAGACACCCGGACAAGTGATCCTACTCTAGAGCCACAACCAAACAAGGAACAAGAAAGAAAGCCTAGATCAAAAGTCATCAATTTATCCTACGTAACTACATACAGTCCCTAGGGCATCCCTCTACTAAAGATAACCAAAACTAGTAGGTCGACATTGGTGCCTTCGACCCACTGTTCAATGAGGCGAAACTCACCTGAATCGAAGAACTCTGAAACACTTCGATACAATCCCTTTTCTTCACTGCTTGCACCCGCAAATCCACTCCAAAGCACTCAAAAAATCAAGGATCTCACAAAATGGGGCTAGAGTTTCGAAATTAGGGTTAGAGAGGATGGAGGTTGGATGTAATAAGGGTTGGAAAGAGTTAAAGTCATCAAAATTAGTGTTTTTTAAAACGACTTATTAACTTATTGGTTTTTTAAAAAACTAATAAACTAAAAAAATATTTTTAAAGACTAACTTTAGGCAAAAAAAAAAATATGACTTTTTCAAAAGGTTAATACCTTTCAAAAAAAATAAGAAGTTTCAAAAACACTTACAAAGGCTCCCATCATATTTAACTTTATATTAAATATCTAAGGATTTGTATGATTAATTTATAATTTTTGTATACAATATTTAAAAAGTATATGTGTTATTTATAAAAATTACTAGTTGCGAGACCCGTGTAAATACATGGGTTGATGATAAAAAAAAAAGTTAAATATGAAAAACTAAACAATACAAAATTTTAATATATAATACTTTGTACGTTTGTATAATTTATATAATATATAAATTGTCAATTTATAATTTTGATTAAAATACATTGTTTGATATGCATAAAATGATATATTACACTTTTTATTTTTTATGTGGACGTTAAGAGAAAAAAAAAAGAGATAGCAAAACATGCAAATGAGTATTACTTGATCTATCCTAATAAATGTAATATTAATTATATATTTTTTGTAAATACATAATCGTTAGATGTGTTTCACGGTTGCAAATTCAAAATAAAAAAAAAACATCTAAACTAATAAAACAATATTATTTTAAAAAAATGGACCATATTTATTCTCATGTATTAATAGATGTTAAAAAAACATATCATATTTCAAAAAACACACAATGCATTGAAAATATATCATTTATCATTAAAACATATCATTTAGCTAAGTTGACATTTTGGTTAAGAATAAAAGTATGTTGACTTCTTTTATTAAAAATATAAGTGTGTTGTTAATTTGGGTTAAAATTTAGCATAACATCAAAACTTAAAATATAACTTAGAATTATAAATCATCAAATTGGAATGAAATGATAAAAATCAAGAAATATTTCAATATTAAATTCGGTATAATTATTAAAGTACAATGCTCTAAAAAACCTTGAAAAGATTATGGACAATTGAAAAAAGACATAACTATAGAACGAAAATGCTCCAAACATTAAAGAGGAAGACACAGACACACTTCGAGATTATTTATCGACATTTCTCCTAAAAAAGCTTTTCTATTTTTTTTTTTCATTTAATCACATTTGAAACATTGGTATAACCAAAATACTATCAAATTTTAATATTAGAAAATAGATAGTTTGAACTCTCAAGTCAAAACTTTGTTTTTGAGATTCTAATTATATTTTTGTTAGAAGGGAGGTGGAAAAATAGAAGATCAAAAATGGATAATTTTAAATTAAATTAAACCCATGAAATTATGGATGCATAATATTATTTGCAAATATAAAATATATTTGTAAACATTGAATTTACCGTTTTGAGTAAGTTTAATGATGCATGCAAGTTTTTTTTTCATATGTTAATGCTAAGAACTTACGCTTTTTTTTTTGAAAGAATTAAGTTAATAATGGAAGTAAAAAATGCAATGACTAATATAAATTAATTCCCATAAACTCATCCCCATAAGTAAGGAATCAATATTTTTCCCTATTAAATGTCGTAAATACCTTTATTATCAATTTAATACTTTTTTAAAAAATCAATTTTTTTTAGGAAATGATGTGTAATTTTTCTAGGCAAAACCTAAATTATAAGAAAATGACAAACGGCATAAAAATATTATGAAAATTTAAGTTTTTTTCCTTTATTTAAATATCTTATAATTTTAGAAGTTTGTTTCAGTAGACTACATTTGTAAAAAGGGCCCTATAATTCTATGAACATTCACCCGCTTGTCTTATTCGTCGACTACTATTGTCAAATTGGACACACACTTATGACAAAGTGACATCGTAGGTTACTCCATATAAATGCGCTTGTTTGGTGCAATTCATTACTGTCGCACCCTATTAGAGTGTTATAAATACTTTTTTTTGGTTGCGGTTCAAAGTTTTCAGTCATATATTTTTTAATGCAAAAAAGTTCAAACGTTTTTTTTTTTTTTTTTTTTCCTAAAATACCTGTGCGACATTTTTCTCCCAACTTTTAACGTATATTTAAAAGAAAAACAAAAAATCATTATTCGGAATTGAATATTCAATTTAAAATAATGTTAGATTTCTGAATTGAGTATTTAATTTAAAATACTGTTAAGATTTCGAAATTGAATATTCAATTTAAACTACTGTTAAGATTTCGCAATTGAATATTTAATTAGGATGTTGTTAAAATTCTTGAAACTGTGCATATAATTAATAATATTGTCGTATAATTATTACATATGAATATATTTTTCAAAAATAATACTCTAACTAAAATAGAATTGTGATTTTTTGGATGTTTAGGTTTTGTGGTATGGGCCATAATATGGCGTTGAGAGGCCTGTGTCTCATGTCATAACGATGTTAGACTAGAGGGAGTGGGTGCGGTTTCAACCGCGGTTCCGCCACATCATCACCCAAAACACCATCCCCTCAGTGGTTTCTACCGCATATTTTCTCTCTTCACCCAAATACTACCACACTTCCATTCTCTCTCTCTTCCTTTATTTGCTTTCTCTCTCCTCTCTCAACCAATCATTTTCTTTTTTTTCTTCTTTCTTTTTTCTCTTCTAACCATTCTCCCACTCCGTTGTTGTGGTATCAAATTGATGAAATGAGAAAAAATATGAGTTGACATCTATGTGACATAAGAGGGAGTGCGGTTTCAGTGGCACCACTCCCTCCAGCCTTAGAAGAAAAACAACATCCCTCAAAGCATCTTCTCTTTCTTTCATCTCTCTTTCATTGTTTTTCTTCTTTCTTGAGCTCATAACTGTGTGTCATGGAGCAACACCAACCATCTCTAAGAATGGTGGAGAAAAAGAAATACTGATGATGATGTGGCACTGTTAAAAAGGGTAGTTTTAAAATACAAAAATTAATGTTCAGTATTATTTTTAAATGTTAAAAAAAATGAGAAATTTTCCCTCAAACATATGACCGACAATAAGAATGGTTTCCCATTTTTAAAAAGTTCACATGTAAAACTCGCCCTTGTATTTAATGAATATTTAATAATATAATTTAAAGATCGTGATAAACTAAATAATGCTTGACAAAATGATCACAAATTTTGCTTTTTTGTAAGATTGATCACACAAAAAAATGTAAATAAAAAATTATTCTATAACTATTTCTTTTTGTATACTCGTGGGTTCACCACATACTTGTAAAATATTTTATAAAACTAAACGTTTTTTTATTAGTTTTTCATCTCAAATCACGTGTGTATCATATTATCTCCTTACATTGTGGAGTACTCTTTTTTATTTCATTTATTTTGTTAAAGTGCAAATTGCAAAATGCATAATAAATCTAGCTACGATATAAAAGATATAATGGATTTCTTAGCAAAATTACAATAGGTTGTATTACATGTAAAACATACAAACAAAACAAAAATATGAATCACATATTAATAACAATTGAAATCCTAGATATTCATTTATTTAATTAAAGCATAAATAACGATTTGATGATTTTAACTTCAAGAAAAGACGTTGATAAAGGATCAAATTTAGGTGGGAATTGGCATGGTGGTTGGAAGACTATGAAGGACCACCGTCTCCACCGTCAAACCAGGACCGAACCCAAACAGAACACCCCAGTCCAATCCTTCGCCGGTGGTGGCAGCACCGTCCTCCGCCGACTTCTTTCTCATCTCGTCAATGATGAACAACACGCAGGCACTGGACATGTTCCCGTACTCGCTCAAGACATGTCTGGTGGCTCTCATCTTCTCCTCCTTGAGACCAAGCTTGAGCTCCACCTGGTCCAGTATCGCCGGACCACCGGGGTGGGCGATCCAGAAGATGGAGTTCCAATCAGTTATACCCAAAGGAGAAAATGCTTGTGTCAGAGCCTTCTCTATGTTCTTCGAGATCAACCCTGGAACATCTTTAAGGAGATGAAAAGTTAACCCCACCTCCCTCAAATGTCCGTCGATGGCTCCCTCGGAGTCAGGTAAGATTGTCTGAGCCGCAGACACCATCTCGAACAGCGGCCGTTCCATCGTCAAGTCAGGGTCCGAACCCACGATGACCGCCGCAGCTCCATCCCCGAACAGAGCTTGTCCAACGAGGGAATCAAGGTGGGTGTCGTTAGGGCCACGGAAGGTAACCGCTGTAATCTCAGAGCAAACCACAAGAACACGAGCACCCTTGTTGTTCTCAGCGAGGTCCTTAGCGAGACGGAGAACCGTGCCGCCGGCGAAACACCCTTGTTGGTACATCATGAACCGTTTGACAGAAGGACGTAGGCCGAGAAGCTTAGTGAGCTGGTAATCGGCCCCGGGCATGTCAACGCCGGAGGTGGTGCAGAAGATGAGATGGGTGATTTTGGATTTAGGTTGGCCCCATTCTTTGATGGCTTTGGTTGCGGCTTCTTTACCGAGCTTGGGGACTTCGACAACGACCACGTCTTGCCGGGCGTCGAGCGAAGGAGCCATGTACTCGCAAAGGTTGGGGTTCTCTTTGAGAAACTCCTCTGTCAGATGCATGTATCGTTTTCTTATCATAGACTTATCACCTGCAAGTTTCATATATACATGTATAATTTGTTAAAACAAAAACCCTACTCATAACATCATGCATCAACCACTACAAATCATTACTTTTATTTTTGTAAACATCTGAAAACTACGTCTCAGAAAAGTTTTGCCATATATCTTTGGCCTATGTTATCTCATGAAAAACACAATGACTTTGAAAACCTTTGTATTGCCATATATTTATGTCTACTTTGCAAAATCTCGATTAAATATGGAAGTAAGAGTAAATACATACACATGCGCTGGAACTTCTCTTTGAGATCCACCATGTGCTCACTTTTAGTAATCCGAAAATAGTAATCGGGATAATCAGCTTGGTAGACGCAGTTGGATGGAGTTGCAGTGCCGATGGCAAGAATGGTGGCTGGACCTTGTGCCCGTTGGGCATTTCTGATCTGAGCAATATCAATTGAGGACGCCATTGGTGTTCAATCTCTGGTGGCAGGAATGGAGTTGATCTTTCAGTTTCAAACTAGAGAAGGAAATGTGGTTGCGAAGTAGACGAGGTTTGAGTGTCTATTATATAGGCTGTTAGGTTCTTTAAACCTCAATTTAAAATTTATGGAGCCGTAAGTGTTCGCGATGGTAGTACATGCCACGTCGAGCATCATGTATGCATTTATGACATAATACCCAAGTGCGCTTGTATCTCTTTGGAGGTTTGTACTAGATACAGGAGGAACGACTTGACATCCAGTTGATTAAAGTGTAAGATATAATTAATGAGTCTGATTGTAAACCTCTTCGGTATGGTAAAATTGTCATTATACGATTTGGTATGCATGTCACCGGATCTCTTGTGGCTTGTGGCTTGTGGCTTATGTGTTGGTCAAGTGGGAGTCAAGTGAACATCATTCCCCACCTCCACATTAATCACCAAATCGTAGTGAATTGTAGTGAAGATCATGAACCACCATACCTAATAATTTTATTTTTCTCTATCTCTTTCTACTTTTTTTATTAATTAAAAGATATATTTTTTATTAAATAATTATAAAAATAAGAAAGATATAGTAGTATGAAGTGATAATTATTTTATAGCGGTATGGTTTAAATGTAAGGATTATAAGACGCTGAGGTGACATTTTTTTTAATGGTCATATTGCTATATGATTATTGAAAGAAAGAAATTACAACGTTCTCAATGAAAAAAACATAAAGGCTACAAAGAAAAAAAGGGAGAATAAATACTAGCTAAAATAAAACTCTAATGAGCTAAAGTTTAAAGGGTCCATAAACATGTGGGCTAATAACATATAGACTAACATCCCCCTCAAACTCACAATGTCACAGCAATAAGCATTGAAAGTTTGTCACACAAGAACCGAAACCGAGATGCCGATAGAGCATTCGCAAAAATATTCGCAAGCTGCAAGGTTGATGAAACAAACGGAAGCAATATGGTTCCGAGCTGTAAGTGATGACAGTTGAAGTGACAATCAATCTCAATGTGTTTTGTCCGCTCATGGAAAACATAATTTTTTGCAATTTGTATTGCACTTTTGTTATCACAATGTAGGGGAGTAGGTGAAGAAATGTGAACTCCCATATCCGCAAGCAGCCACCGTAACCAGATAATCTCACATGTAGTCACAGTCATAGCACGATACTCAGCCTCCATGGAAGATCTAGAGACAACGTCATGTTTCTTGATCTTCCATGAAATGAGAGACTCACCAAAAATATGCAAAATCCGGTGGTTGATTTACGATCATGACAATTGTCATCCCAATCAGCATCACTATAGGCACGTAATTCAAGAGAAGACGTCGAGGGAAATAAGAGGGTCTGAAACTGAGTGGTACGAAGATATCTCAGAATACAGAGTACAACTCCCCAATGAACAAAGGTAGGAGCAGTAACAAACTGACCAACAACATGAATAGCATGAGCAATATCCGGACGAGTAATTGTGAGATAAACCAAACTTCCCACAATAGTGTTATAAAGATTTTGATCGGACAAAGGAACACCATCACTAGGAGAGTACTGTGCATTGGTTTCAAGAGGAGTATCAACAGTCCGATTGTCAGAGAGGCCCGCCCGTGTAAAAAAGTCAAATATATATTTAGTCTGAGAAAGAAGATACCATTTCTTAGACTGAGTGTGACAACCCGAAATTTCTTTCGTTCAAATCGTTAAAAATAAATCAATTTGGAATTTATTTCTGCTCTT